CTAGCATGTGACTCCTTATGTAACAATTTCTGTGTGAAACCTTCTGAATTAGCATTTGCCTTTAGAGTAATTCTCTTGTATACAATCAAAGTGTACAGCTGAGTGACTCATCTTTGGCACACTGCTAGATGCAGCTGTCACGTACTGCATGTCAGATACGGTTACAACTGTTTTTTACTATGACCCCTTCAACTGAATGCAATGTTATTATGAAACTGTTTAACTGCTATTCATAATATCTTCAGGAAGTCTGCTTCAAGATAGGATGCAGTATTGTGCCAGCAACCAGGTAAAGCAGATAAATTACAAAGTCATTTTTTAATTTTTTGTTTATTTTTATTGTTGACACTATTACAGATGCCCCCATATCCCCCGCCCGTTGCCCACCTCCACCTGGCCCCTCATCACCACACTGTTGTCCATGTCCATGGGTCGTGCGTAAATGTTCTTTGACCAATCTCTTCACCTTCTCCCATCCAGTCCCCCTGCCCTCTCTCACAGCTGTCGGTCTGTTCCTTGTGTCCATGCTTCTGTTTCTATTTTGTCAATTTATTTTATTAATTAGATTCTACATATAAAAGAGATCATGTTATTTGTCTTTCTCTGGCTTATTTCATTTAGCATAATCTCCAAAAATCATTCTGAAAGGCATTGCGGAGCTGTGGAAGCAGAGGACTAGATGAACCAAAATGCTATAGAGGTACAGTGCCTCTGAGGTAACCTGATGATCACAGGCTATCTGGCCCTTGTAAGCATTTCCTGTTTTTAGTGTGGGCCTGGGGGAAAATCTCACGAGTTGTAGGGGATCACTGGTGGCAGATTAGAAACACAAGCAGCCTCATGCACAGCTGGTTCTTTCACATGGGACATTGCTGAGTTTCAGGGCTATGCAGGCAGCTAGAGAGTTGGAGTCAAAGCTTCTGCGAGGAAGAGTGAGGTATCTACAGTGTCTGTAGTGCTTAGGAATGACAAACCCACCAGGGAAGGGTGGCTGCCTAAAGTACACAGTCAGCTTCTTCCTCAGCCATTGGTCAGAATTTGAAGTTACTGGGGCAGGAGGTCAGGGAGACTAACCACACAGTCCTCAGATTTAAAAGCCTAGGAGAGTCATATCCAGAATACAAAGGCTAAATAGAGGAAACATTGCAACCCAGCTCTGACGCAGCTCAGTCTGTGGTTGGACTGAAGTATTAGCCCCTCCAATCATCAGGGAGAAACTCCGTGGCAGAAGGTAACGTAACCTGCAGCCACTGTGCTTCTCTTGAACACAATGTCTGGAACACAATGTGCATTTCTCACATTACAAGTGAGTTTAAGTCATGACATACATTATTTGAGAATCTCCTGTTTGTGTTTAAAATTCTCAATTTATGTATTGTCTTAAAAGAACTCTGTATGCTGAGGAAATGAGACACAGCCAGTGTGATCTTTTAAAAACAATTTCTTTCTCTTATGAAAGATAATTGAAGACCTTCTAATAGCTCTTCAAATAAAAAAAATAAACTGTACCATAGCTGGTAAGGTCTTTTATGATCTGGCCTACTTTCCAACCTGGTTTCATATACTCTTCTCCTTGCCCCCTTGCCCAGTTTTCCAGTTGCTGGCTTTTCTTTTTTTAGAAAAAAAAATACGCTAAAGTCTGAGTGATAACTTCTCTTGCAGAATACTACTTAAATCTTGTACCTCCCTCACTCCCCCATGGAGTCTAAAAGGAGCCCCGTGCCCTTTAACAGTACTTTCAAAAAGCTTGCCTTTAAAATGTTGAAGATAGAACACGTGGTTTTAAAAACGTAAAAAAATGAAACTTAAATTTATAAAAGGGATAGAATCTATATACCCAACAACAGTCTAAACAAATCTATTTACAACCTTGAAGATATTAAAAACAATGCTTTTGATAATTAAGACATCATGATGGAATTGTCTTAAAAATATTTTTAAAATTTATATTATCAATTTAGTTATCAATTTTTATATATATCCTTCCAGGATATCTTCAACTCACACAAATATACACTAACAATATATATTTTATTTATTTATTTGTGTTTAAAGATTTCATTTAGTTTTAGAGAGGGGAAGGAAGGGAGAAAGAGAGGGAAACATTGATCTGTGAGAGATACATCAACCATTGCCTCTAGCAGGTCCCTGATCCCAGACCTGGCTGACAACCCAGGCATGTGCCCTGACCAGGAATTGAACTGGCGACCCTTTTGTTTGCAGGCTGGTGCTCAATCCACTGAGCCACCCCAGCCATGGCAGGCAGTGCATATTTTAATAAAAACATGGTCATACTTCAGTAATTTGTAATTGTACTTAAAAAGCACAATATATTAAATACATCCCACATATCTATAAATATATAACTACACTTTTTAAAAGATTGTATTTTATTTCTAGAGACATAAGGAGGGGGAATGAGAGGGAGAGAAACATTGATGTAAGAGAAAAAACAGCAGTTGGTTGCCTCTCTTATGTGCCCTGACTAGGGACCGAACCTGTAACCTGGGCATGTGCCCTGATGGAATTGAACCGGCAGTCTTTCAGCTGGTGGGACAGTGCCCAACCAACTGAGCCACACTGGTTTTAATGACTGGTTTTTAACTACATTTTTAATGACTGCATTATATTCCACTTTATGATTAGCTATTATTGGGAATTTTCTAGTTTTTCACTTGAGCATGAAACTGAGATAACTGCTGTTATTTACACATGCATGCATTAAGAGTTTTTTTATTTTATAAAAGCTCAGAAAATAAATATTTTGGACACACACTACTTACCTGTCAACCTGAAAAAGTTGTATTTATGCTTCCATCAGTAGCCTAAAGGCGAACACTGCCCCCTCACCAATACCAGGTCATTTTACTCCTTTGAAGATAATACACAATGTAGCAGCATATGAACACTGACCGTACAAAGGAAACTATATGAGCTTGTAACGGGGGAAAGGAAGAGAGGGAATGAGGGCGAGAATAATAAACATGACACTGCAGTCCTCTCGACAGTCTTAGTTTCTGTGTACCTGTCACGGTGGAATATCTTACTATGCCAAGTGTGACTCTAATGCTTAAGAAAAAGAAATTTTGATTCTGTGCAATTTTTGCCTTATTTTAAGTTAAGCTACCACAGAAATACTAAGTAAAAAAGTTTTGAAAAACCTTAAATGTTTAAGTGAATTCCTACTTTGGGCTAAATACTAGGAGTAAACAGTGAACAATGTTGACAAAGTTCCCACCGTCCCAAAGCTCCCATTTGTGAGGGGAAGACACATAATTAGACAACACTGTGAGAGTGTGAACAGTTTTGTTAGAAGAATTATAGGATAATTCATCATAAAGGATGGCCAGGTCAGGGTCCAGAGTCACAAGACGCAAGGGATATGGCCTGAAAAGACAGGTGACAATTTGAGCATGAAAGGTCAAAGGCGGGAGGGTTTCAAAGAATAATGTAAGAGATTAGTACCTTAGGTGGATCACCCTGGGAGCAGTGTTATGAACACATGAAAGGAAAGCAAGAACTAGAAACAACACTGTTCCCTGCAGTATTGCTTGTTATTAGGAAACTCCGGGAGGGGAACTGGATTAACCTACAGTATGATATATCCATATAATCAAATACTATATGGCTATTAAGAATGAAATAGAACTATATGTGCTGGCAGATATGTTTTAAAAGGGAATGAAAGGTGTGACAGTTTTTATAAAATGATATATTTGCATATGCATAGAATACAGTCTATAACAATTTTTGTAAGACCATATACTTCTATGTACATAGAACAGTCTGAGAATGCACAGTCATCTACAATGTCAACATTCAAAGGCAGTAGAATCTGGGGACTTCCCCTTCTGTGCATACATAGCACAGGTGGTTTTACATTTATTTCATATGCATATATTAGCTTCATAATTAAGAAACACCAAGAATAAAATAAATATAAGAATAAAAATAAAAAATAGTGAAAGGATACTGTGGAAGCTGCATAGAAAACATACTGGAACAAGGTAAGATCAAATCAGAGAAGCCAGTGATGCTGCGGTTCCAGTAACGTCCAATGTGCTGGGTGAGACTGAGCCCGAATCTGCAGCTGCTGGCCTGCCAAGATTTTGCAGGCCAGAACGTGTACATGAATGCCAGTCCCCAAGCAAGCAGAGCTCAACCCCCTTTTCTGAGTACCACTTAAGATAATCTCACACAAGTACTATATTTGTACATCGGACATAAAATATTCAACTCTACATACCTGTGGATCTACAGTCTTTTGCCTCTTGCACCTCCCTGCTGGGGACCTGGCCCGCAACCCAGACATGTGCCCTGATCAGGAATTGAACCAGTGATGCTTTGGTTCACAGGCCCACCCTCAATCCACTGAGCTACACCAGCCAGGGCTGCAGTCTTAGATTTTAATAACTCTACTGTATTTCATATACTGCTATGAAGAGAATCAACAAGCTTATTTTTCCCACCTAAAAAGATATCCAGATATACCAGTGCAGTGCTGGTACAACTGTTTAAAGATGTCTTTGAGGAACCAGTATTTTTATTCTACTCCACCCATGAGCCATAGTTGTCATTCTCATAGGCACAACCTGGTTCCTTACGCTCTAGGAATGGAAAATTGAAAGGGAGAGGAATGGGGAACAAAAAGGCAAAGTAAAAACAGACAGGTCTGTCACTAGTGACACCGTCTATTTTGGATTAATCAGGAATGAGGGATATGGCTACACTTGGCTGTAAGGAGGCTGAGAAGTTGTGTAATTGGGCATACTGGTCCTATGAGCCAAAACAGGGTCATCAGGATGGAAGTATGGCCTTGTTCAATTGGGTACAGCAGTATCTGCCACAGCAGGGTAGAAAGCAACTTTGAAGAAAATAAAGTACTATAGTGTAGATATTCTAAATGTAATGCACTCAATTTAGAAATCAATGAGAAGGTAACTGAAAACCTTATGTCACATATTACAAAATCATAATTCTAAACAGCTATGGATCAAAAAGTCATAATAAATATTAGACAAGTAGAATTAAGAGAATAAATTAGCGTACACCAATATGTGTTATGTAGATAAAGGAGTTTTTAAACGACTACATATGTAGCCTTAAATGCTTATTTTAGAGAACAAAGACTGAAATAGTGAAACTGTAGTCCACCTTAAGGAGATGAAAAAGGTCACTCCACATTCAAAACACTTACAGGGATTCTCTCCTAGTGTGAATTTTCTTGTGTATGATAAGTGAAGAATTCTGACTGAATGCTTTGCCACACTGAATACATCCATAGGGTTTCTCTCCTGTGTGAGTTCTCACATGTCTCCTAAGGGAAGAGGAAACAGTGAAGGTTTTCCTGCATTCCTGACATTCATAGGGTTTTTCCCCAGTGTGAGTTCTCAGATGCATTCTAAGGGATGAGAGACCACTAAAAACTTTCCCGCAGTCTTTGCACTCGTAAAGATTTTCTCCGGTGTGTATCTTCTTGTGAACTGTAAGGTGAGAACTCGTGTTGAAGGCTTTTCCACAGTCACTGCACTTGTAGAGTTTCACCCCCGTGTGTATTCTCTTGTGCACTATAAGGTAAGAACTTGTTCCAAAAGACTTTCCACAATGATTACACTCATAAGGTTTCTCTCCAGTGTGAGTTCTCACGTGGGCCTTAAGAGATGTTTTTTGACTGAAAGCTTTCCCACATTGATGACACTCATAGGGTTTCTCACCAGTATGAGTTCGTATGTGTCTCTTTAGGGTTGAGGAATCAGTGAAGACTTTTCCACATTCTTTACATTCATATTGTTTCTCGCCCATGTGACTTCTTTTGTGCAAAATAAAATTAGAAATCCTTTTGAAGGGTTTCCCACACTGACTACATTCATATTTCTCTCCAGTAGGAGATTGCTCCTTTTGCTCACTGGGTGACTGATGACTAAAAGTTTTGTTTTTATTACATTCATAGGAATTTTCCACCATATCAAAATTATTTTGTATAGGAAGCATATTATATTTGAAATGTATACCATGTTCGGAGCATGTGTCCTCTTTTTGTGCTGTTTGGGCTCTTTCAAGATGCCATCTATCATATTCATGACTCTCATAGAATGTCTCACTCACAGAGTTCTTCTCATTACTGTTTAGGATTGACTTATGCTTCAAACTCTCAATAGTTAAGCAACATTTATGGCAACGTTTACTGACGGAAACTCTGTTTGAAAAAGCAAGTTTTGATCTAAGTTTAGAGTTTTCTTCTAATTCATGGCAGTCACAGAATCTCTCCTGATTCACTGTTTTCTTTTGGGTATATGTCATTTGCTTCAAATTACCCTCTGGGGTCTTGTGCTGTTTTCTGGTCTTACGGCATTCCCAGTCTTGTATTAATGTGGAAGACCAATCATCCATTGTGAATCTTACCATTTTACCACTGGATGTTTTTCCCCCCAAAACATTCTGCTTTAGAGTTGACTCTTCGGTTGTAATTTGAATCTCCCAATCTAGATAGGTGCCTTTGGGTATTCTCCTTTTCATAGTTCTTACCTCTTCCTGACCCAACTGGGAGGTCACAGAAGGCTTGCATAATTGATATGCCACTGAAGTGAGATTTACGTAGTTTTCCAACATGACATCTCTGTACATACTTCTCTGAGCGGAGTCTAGCATCATCCACTCCTCCTGTGTGAACTCCATAGCCACATCTTTAAAGGTCACTGGTGCCTGTACCCAGGCTGCTGGAAATCCAGCCACCATCCTTTCTTCCTCAGTATTTCTCACATAGAAACAGGCAGAGTCCTGCCCTGGCCAGCGTGGATCAGTTGGGTGGAACGTCCTCCCATAACTGAAGGGTTGTGGGTTCGATTCCTGGTCAGGACACATACCTGGGGTGTGGGTTCAATCTCTCATCCAGTGTGTGGGGGAGGCAACCAATAGATGTTCCTTTCAGGCATCAATGTTTCCCCTTTTCTTCCTCTCTCTCTAGAAACAATGAAAAAAAAAAAAAAGGTCCCCATGTGAGGATAAAAAAATTAAAAAAAAGAAACAGGCAGAGTCCTGTGTAGTCAGAACTCATGTGGGGGTAGGTCAACAGAGAGATCGGGATTACTTCTTCTCTTGTTTCTCTGGTCCAGTCAAGGCAATGATGCATTTCACTAAGCATCTTCCCTATAGGTAAAGAGGCAGGTTCAGTTAAAAGAAGAAACGTGGAAATAGGTACCCACTGGAGGCAAAGGAAAAAAAAAGTCCTCCCCCTGCTTCCCATGAAGGTCTGACCAGCTTAAATCTTTACTGGGACTCTAGTGACATGTAATCTAGTTATCCTTGGCCACCTTCCAAAACTGTCGTCTTGGTTATGTATACTGGCTTGTCCTGCAGACTACTTCTCAGTCCAGGGTGGAAGAAGCATGCATTATTTAAAAAATCAAAGCTGAATAGAACCAGACAAAAAAAGACATGGTTATTTAATTAAATTTCATGCATACTTTGCTACTTTTTAAGCTGTTTTGTTAATGGAAAAATAATTTCCCTGCTTAAAAGAACTGTTTTAGTTAAATTTGTGTATTCTACATATAACCTGGTTTACTGAATAACCTCACATATGATTAACAGGACTGATGATATGGCTGATATTTTGCCTGAATTTTATTGGAGTTGTGAAAGGTAGATATGTGAGTCTGAAACAAATGTTCATTTGATTATGTACCGTCATATAATCTCTCCAAAGTCCGTATCTCATGAGAAATTAGGCTATCTAAAACTTGAACGGCACGAACAAAAAGGCATGAACTATGTTCCAAGCTTTAGGAGTGAGTGCTTAACAGTATTAGATGGCACCTGAACAACAATAAAAAAGTAAAATTCAACAAAGCTAAAATAAATATTAAAAGGTATAGAACTTTCCTGAACAATTTTTATAATAGCTTTAACATAAAAAAACAACAGTGTGAATACAAAAGGCTAATGAATGCTTGGAGACTTTAAGGATCATAGCAAATCATCCAATAATTTGTTATGCTATTATCTATACAGGTCTTGCTTTTTTGTTTTTTTTTTTTTAAGGATTTTTTCACTTATTTTTAGAGAGAGGGGAAGGGAAGGAGAAAGAGAGGGAGAGAAACATCCATGTGTGGTTGCCTCTTGTACATGCCCCACTGAGGACCTGGCCTGCAACCCAGGCATGTGCCCTGACAGGGAATCAAACCAGCAACGCTTTGGTTCGCAGGCTAATACTCAATCCACTGAGTTACACCAGCCAGGGCAGGTCTCGCTTTTTGAAGATGAGATGATAACCTTCAAATCCGAGCCTCCTACCTCAGCATTATACTTCAATAGAGTTCAGTTTTAGTGGACAAAATTATGTCATTGGCATTTTAGACAGGTAGGTTTTATGTCCCTAAACCAGAAACACATTTGTTACTTCAGTGTATATCCTATAGAAATAGATTTGTCTGAACTAGAATTATAATCCTGGAAAAAAAGTTTCCAGGAAACGAGATCCAACACAGATGAGGGAATGGATGAGAGTAAAGGGAAGTCTCAGTATGCCAGTGAGCTGCGCGGTAAAGAATAACCTGTAAACCCTGGCTGGTGTGGCTCAGTGGATTGAGTGAGGGCCTGGGAACCAAAGTGTCGCGGGTTCCATTCCCGGTCAGGGCACACGCCTGGGTTGCAGGCCGGGTCCCCATTGAGGGGTTTGCAAAAGGCAATCACACATTGACATTTCTCTCCCTCTCTTTCTCCCTCCCTTCCCCTCTGTTTAAAAATAAATCTTTTTAATTAAAAAAGATGGTTGAAAAGCAAAACTATTATTGTTACTATAAAATGATAGCATAATGAACACTCTTGTACCCATCACTTGATTAAACAGGTCTGGAAATGACATTTTAAAGTACTTCAGAATTTATCTCTGAATGATAAGAATCCTTCAAAAATCATAACCAGGATATTGTCACACCTATTAGATTAGCAATGATTCCTTAACACAAAAAAATACAGGCAGTGTTACGTTTTTTATGTTATGCTTTAAAATTTTTGTTTTCCTTGGATTCATAGTCCACCTAAGGTTCATTCAATTTTTTTCCCCTATAATTTTAAGTCTCTTTTAACTTAAGGTTTGCTTTAGAGAAATCATATTCTGTGATGCAGCCCATTAACAGAGCAAGGGATTAAGACCTTCAGGAAAAGCTCCTGGGTAAAGAAACAAGGTTCCCAGGACCTGCCGGCCCCTCTAACTTCACCGACCGTAAAAGTGGGACCTGCGCCGGCCCTTGCAGACCCGGCAGCTCCCGGCGCGGGAACGCCCCCCACTTGTCCAGCGCGCCGCCTGTGCCCGCGTCCCCCAGCCCCGACCCTCGGCTTCAGGCCTTGGCAGCCCCGGTTTCTCCGGCTGCTTCCCGGCCAGGGCCTTGCCCGCTCACAGCAGAACTTGGGTGGCCGCTCCTCATCGCCCCTCTTATTCGTCGCGTCTCCTCAGGGTTTACCGGCTCCACCGCACTCACCTGTCGTTCAAACACCGGCCTCTCGGCGTCAGAATGACCTGGTTTCGGGGAAGAGAGGAGAGTCGCGCGGACTGCAGCGCCCCCCAGCAGCCTGGAAGAGGGCGGGGCTCGGAGGTCTCGCGCGGGGGGGGCGAGACTACATTTCCCAGGAGCCCTCGCTCCGCCTTGCGGAGGGATTCTGGGCTTTGCGTCAAGGCCTTGATTCACGCTTGCGGGGCCACCGCTGCGAGGGTCGCGAAGTGTGGGCGAAAGCCTCGGATGGTTCGCGCGTGGACGGACGGGCGTGGGCGTGAGGGGTCTGGGCGCGCGAGTGCGCGTGGCGGCCCAGGGCGCGCGTGTGAGGCGACGGGGACGCGCGGCGAGGCGCGGGGGTGTGCGCGGAGAGTCCGCCAGGCTCTGCGGTCACGCCCGCTCTGCGGCGCCTCCCCCGGAGACCCGGCTCTTTTCGAAGAGCCGTTGCTGCCACCGTCGTGACGGGATTGCTCCCTGTCGACCTTGCAGAGCTTCTCGCAGGTACGCAAAAATGCCGGGTGCGCGTGTACCTCGTAGTCGGACGTGTATGGACCCTTGTGGTGAGACCGCGGCTTCTGAGCCTCGTCGTGCTGGGGAGACGGTGATTTCATCTGCGAACAGTTTTTCTTTTTAACGGGATGTTTTACCCCTTTGCATGAGTGATTCTTCCCCTGGGCGGCACTTCTGGACTCTTTCCCTAGTGCTGGTAGAAACGTTCGTCAGGAATAGTGACGGTGCCCCTGCCGGTGACCTTGAGCCCGGTAGTCTCGGTCTGCTCGGTGTGCAGAACCAGGCTGCTTCTGCTGTTGCTCCCCCGCGCCCCGACCGGGACTGGGGGTTTGAGATCTCGCGTACCGGCCTTTCTAGCGTCTGCTGAAAGTGGGCACGCTCCTGTTCGTTAGAGGAGGAAATTTCTTTATAGTAAAAGTTACGTTTCTAGGAGGAACCCAGCGTGGTCACTCTGGTTTTTAAAAATACATACTACTGGATTCCACTCGAGGGCATTGTGGAAGTTATGTGCTACCACCATTGATGACATAGGTCTACTTTTAATAGGTTTGGTAGCAGAAAGGGCTGGACAGGTTCTATTTCTCGGTTTAGTCTAAAAAAAAAAATAACCAGTAAAATATCAGTCTTGTCAATGCTTGCAGTGTTTAAGATCAGGCAGGTTTGTGTGTTGCCATAGAACAAAAACATCTGTAGCTCCTAACTTCCTGTTCTTCAGTATTGTTTTTTTTTACTCAAATAGATTAACTGGTGGTGTGTATGTGTTTAACTCAGTTTTATTTTTTGGAGACACCTCAATACTTACTCAAATTATTATAATTTTATTTCCCTTTGATACTGGAGTTATTAAGTAGACATGATACAGACCATTCAACATCTAATAGAAATGTCAAAGGAACATCTAGTAGGAACGTTAGGAGTCCATAGATCCCACCCAAAGTACATGGAGGAGGGGAAGAATTTCAACTCTGTGTATACTGCAGTAGCAGAATATATCGTTGAAAAGAAGGGAAGTAAAAGGGGAGACAGGATATTATATGGAATGCTACTTAACTAATTATACGGAATTAGTCAGGTTAGAGATGTCGACTGCAGTTACCATCTACCTGGGAAATGAGTACTTTAAAAAAAAAAGACTTTATTTACTCTAGAGAGAGAGAGGAAGGGAGGGAGGAAGAGTGGTAGAGAAACAGCGAGGTGTGAGAGACATGTTGATTGGCCGCCTCTCACACACCCCCAGCTTTGGACCTGGCCAGCAACCCAGGCATTTGCCTTGACCGGGAATGGACCTGGTGACCTTTGGGTTCGCTTGCGGATGCTCAGTCCAGTGAGCCAGGACACCCAGGGCAAGTACTTCTTTTCACCGCATCTCAACACTGCAGTAACCTTTCTCTGTGACCTAAGTGCGACCTAATCTACTCCTTGTCTGTTCCATTAAAGTTTTCCTCTGTTTTACAAAGGCTCCTGGATGGTGAATTGCACTCATTTCTGCCTTTTCTTGAAAAGTGTTCACTTGTTCTTTCATTTCTTCTCTCAACACAAATATCTTGAGCCCTTAGCATGTGCCAGTCACAGGGCAAGGATTGGAGATACATATCCTAAGTTAAATGAGGAGGTCTGTTTATCAGTGCATCATATAAAAACTGTCTCAAAATTCTGGTTAGGACAGTATGTGTTTACAAAGAATCAAGGACTACCTGGAAGAGAGATTACAAAATTATCCTTATTAACTAAATAATTATATTTCCAACGTGTTTGAGATAATCAGTTAACATCAAAGAGTTTGTAGTGAAGTGAGTGAAAAGGAAGTGTATAGGTTAACAGATTGCTTGGTGTCCTCAACAAGTTAGCACATATCTTTGTAAAAGAAAGTCTATTCACAATTGGAAGAAATTACATAGTATTTATTAATTTTTTAAAAGATTTTATTTATTTATTTTTAGAGAGGGAAGGGAGGGAGATAGAGAGAGAGAAACATCAATGTGCGGTTGCTGGGGGTCATGGCCTGCAACCCAGGCATTACCCTGACTGGGAATCAAACCTGTGACACTTTGGTTCACAGCCCACGCTCAATCCACTGAGCTATGCCAGCCAGGGCCAGTATTTATTAAATTTTTTAAAAGATTTTATTTATTTATTTTTAGAGAGGGAGAGAGGCAGAGAAACATCCATGTGTTGTTGCCTCTCCTGCGCCACCTACTGGGGACCTGGCCCGCAACCCAGGCAAGTGCCCTGACTGGGAATCAAACTGGTGACCCTTTGGTTCACAGCCGGCACTCACTCCACTGAGCCACACCAGACAGGGCTAATTTTAACTAGAAATACGTCTGAATTATGAGAAAACTTTAAAACCTTACTAAGAGATATAAAATTAAAATAAAGGATAAGTAGGAATAAGGGCAGTTCTATTTATAGATTAAATTCAGTTGTCAAGAAAATAGAACTGGGCCCTGGCTGATGTGGCTCAATTGGTTGGAGCATCCTCCTGTAAACTCAAAGGTCACGGGTTCCATCCTGATGTCTAGGTGGCTGGTTCTGTCCCTGGTTGCGGCACATAGCAGAGGCAACCAGTCAGTGTTTCTCACATCGGTGCCTTTCTCCCTTCCCTCCCTCCCTCCCCGTCTCTTTAAAATCAGTAAGCATGTCCTTGGGTGAGTATAAAAAAAAAGAAAAAGAAAATGTAACTGGGATTTTTAAAAAGAACCCCCATGCACTTTGGTCTTTTCTTTATATCTTTAGTTTCTTAAAATGTTTTGGAAGTGGCTCATTTCATCATAATTTAGTGAGAAAATTTTCTTTTTGAAGGATAAATACTACTAGAAATGATGTGTTTTCTTGTTTTTCATCACATAATTAAAGCACTGAGAGACTAGTTTAAAAAACATTTTAGGTTTTAAATAAAATGTTTATTTTAAGGAGAAAGAAGTTTCCTGTTGTATTGGGTTGGCCAAAAAGCAGTTAGTTGTCTTTAACTTCACTCAAAACAATTTTGTTAGATTGTATTGCGATAGCTGTCATGTTAGTGTGCATTTAAAATAACTTACCAAAATTGGTGAATTTTTATGTAGTCATTTTAACTTTGGAGGTGGAAGAAGCATGTACTCCGTATACCTGAGTGAAGCACTGTCAGTGACTAGGCCTTGCCTCTGGGTCCTGGCCCTCAAGTGTTGGGTCTTCAAACAGAGACCTGCAGACAAACACCTTGGGAAAAAGACAAATTTTCATTGTAGGTGCTCATTATGTATTTGACAGATGCCAGAGTGAACAAATAGAAAGGGCAGAGCTCTATGCTAGCCTCTTCTGGGATTTAAAATGAGATTATCCCAATTTTCACATGGGGGGCGGATAAGTAAATAGTGATGGCCTGAGGGAGAGTGTTGAATTGCTGGAAGCCCCAAAAGCTGTCCATGCTGACTGCAGTTTTCAACCCATGTGCCACAGGAATTTTTAAAACATGCAGTACCTCACTATTTAGTCAGGGGCACTGACCTCTTTTCCCTTAGATTGTCAACAAAAAAAATTACAACAACCCTGACTGGTGTGGCTCACTGGGTTGGGCATTATTCCAAGAAGTGAAAGGTTGCCGGTTTGATTCGCCATCAGTGTATGTGCCTGGGTTATGGGCCAGTTCCCTGGTTGGGGGTGTGCAAGAGGCAACCAATTGATGTTTCTCTCCCTCTCCTCCCTCCTTTCCCTTCTCTCTAAAAATAAATAAATAAAATCTTTTAAAAATAACCAGACAAGGTTAGGACAAGGACCTGTGCCTGATATCAGAGACCTCACTCCCTGTGGACACAACCCCTTGATCAATGAGCTCTGGCGCTCTCAGTACCTTTGTTAAGCCCATGTTGCTTCTTGTATTAGGGACTGTGGACGTAGAGAGGAAGAAGTGCTAGCCTTTCCAGCGAAATTAGGGAATGATACAGAGAGGGGAGCATTCAATCTTGCAGGATAGAGTTTTTGCCAAGAGACAAGAAAGGAAACGGCATCCGTGGTATAAGAATAGCATGTAAAGGTGTTGAGGCGGTTCAGGTAAGTTACCATGGTGATAGGGAGACGTGTGGTAGTTTGATGGAACGTTTAGGGCTAATGAGGTAGAGAAGGGCCCAACCACAAAGGATCTTGCTGAGGACTCAGTTAATTTTCCTGTCAGTTCTGGGAGATGAACAGAATTTTAATCAAGGAGTGAAACTTGTGTTTTACAGAGATGACGCTGATGTACACACTCCAGGGAGTGGGAGAGACGGAAGGCGGAGAAGCCAAGTACCATATCTAAGTCGAGAATTCTGAGGGCTTGACCCCAGGCCGTGGCAGTGGAATCCAGCATAAGAGATATTTAGGAGAGCAGATTTACAGGTAATGCTGATGGGGTGGGTATTAAAGAGGACAAAGTCTAGAAAGACACTAGCATTGCTGGGTCACTAGATGTCAGTTTTTTCCCCCAGAAGGAATGTGTTTTACAGGGAAGGTGTTCTAGAATGGGAGAGGAATTACTCCGGGATGGGGTAAAATTGGTAGTAGTCCGATTTCAGAGTACCTTGAAGTGTTTGTGAGTGACCAGTTGGAGTCGCTCTCTGTCCTCCTTCACATTGTTAGAACTAGCTGTTTGCACAGAGAGTTTCAGGCAGCACTTTTGATCATTTGGGCAGGTTAACTATTGAATTTCTTACTTTCTGCAGCCTTTCTGCCTTTGCCGTGGTAAAGCTGGCTCTCACCACAGTGGGATCTGAATGAGCCACCTCTTTTGACAACTCGTAGTTCTCAGCTTGGTTTAGCTAATATCTTGGGTGGCATCATTTTTTTTGAAGGTTTATTTTTTATTCTTATTTGAGGGGCAGAGAGAGAAAAACAGTGATGTAAGAGAGAAACAGCAATCATTTGCCTCCTGCACGCACCCCAACCAGGGATGGAACCTGCTACCCAGGCACGTGCCCTGACTGGAAATCGAACTGGGGATCTTTCCGTGTACAGGACAGTGCTCCAACCAACTGGGCCACACTGGCTGGGGCTTGGGGGCATCGTTTATTAGTTTAAGGGATTCACGCCTTTCAAAACTGTCAAAGTAAGAAACAGCAAAGTCATTTTATGTACTCCATTCACGTGGAAAATAATGAAATGCCAATAATCTCTCTAGATCACTGGTTTATTGTACAAGGATATAACTCAGGAGCAGCCAGATGGAAGAGATGCCTAGGGCCAGGGGTGTGGGGAGGAGCAAGAGCCTTCAAGCCCTCTTCAGGGCACCACCCTCCTGCATCTCTACATGGTCACCTACCGGAAGCTCCCAGGTGTTTTCTTAGCAGACGAATAATCATTACCATGTGTCTGGCAGTGTTCTGTGTGTTTTACAGATATTGACTCAATTATCATAATAACTCTGAAGTAGGACTATTTTGTCCCCGTTGTACAGATGAAAAGACTGATATCGAAAGGTTAAGAAACCACCTTATAAGTAATGGAGCAGGTTTTTGAATCCAGGCAGTCTGGCTGCAGAGTCTGTGCTGTTAGGCACAGTTAGAACTATGTGTCTGAGGTTAGGGGGCGAGATCGGGTTAGAACACAGAGTGGTGTGTTCGTTGTAGACAGAACACTTGGTCCCGTTGTGTATCCTGCAGTGGGATAGACAATAGGGACAAAGCAAGATGTGCTTTGTCCAGAGAGTGCCCTGGGGCTCACTGAAAATTGAGACTGGAAAAGACTGAGGATTCAACGTTTTAGCTAATCATGATTTTTGAAATCATTACAGAAGAATGAGAAGTACCAAAGAGGAAAACTAGGTGAAAGAGGAAACAATCTATAAAGAGCTTCAGGGACAATTGAGAGGCCAACAGTGCCCTTTGTAACAGGGGTCGTTGGTGAGATTTGTTCACCGGCGGGGGGCAGAAGCTATAGTGCTTTTATTTACATTAATGTGCATAGAACTGAAGTGGAAATTATTAACATCTCAGAGGGCAAAGTGGGTAAATAATATAAAGAAAACAAGATACAAAAAAGCTGTAAATGTAGACAAAGCAAAAATACTCAAACAGTAATCAAAATATGGAAATTTAAAATATAGTCTAAATTTAAAACAAGTTAAAAATACAATGTTTATAGACTTCTGCTTCTGGCCAAGATGGAGTAACAGGGAGTGGATTTACCTTCTTGCCCAAACAACCCAACAACAAAAAGACAAAGTACATGAAACAATTGTTTGAAGACGCTGGATGTCAGACCATGCAGGACAGCCATCCCTGTGAGGTGGAACACCAACGAGGTAAGCCCTCTGATCGCCTCAGTTCACTGCCTTGAGAGGGTTTTCAGGTCACAGCCGAGGACGGAGAAACCGACGTGGAGCCCAGCAGTCCGCAGGTGTCAGGGACGTGGAGCTGAGAATCTGGGGAGAGCAAAGCGGCTGGAGTGTGCAGGACAGACACCAGAGAGGGCAGTGCTGCAGAGGGTCTCCCTCGTGTAGTAAGAGCAGAGGTCGGCACGCATGTGTGAGAGGAGGACCAGAGGCCAGTGAAGGAATCCTCTGAAGGGTGAGAAGGAGTAGTACCCGACGTTCACGGGGGTAATACTGCCTGTTACTACTGTCCAGACTGGGAAACTCTGCTAATTCCCAGAGTGTTGGGAGTGGGCTTTATTTGTAATGCCCTGAAAGGAAAAGTAACTGTCTACTTCAAATCCTATAGTCAGCAAAAATCTATTTCAACAACAAAGGTAAACCAATGTATAGAATGGGAGGAAATATTTAGAAATCATATATATCTGATGAGGGTTTCATATCCACAATATAGAAAGAACTACAACTTACCAACAAAAAGACAAATGACCCAGTTTAAAATGGGCAAAGAACTTGAACAGACATTTCTCCAAAGATCATACAAATGGCCAAAAAGCACATGAAAATAATGCAAATTAAAACCACAGGGAGATATCACTTAACAATTACTAAGATGGCTATAATAATTTAAAGAATGGAATAACAACACATATTGGCACACTTGTGGAAAAATTGGAATCTTTTTATACTGCTGGTGTGAATGTAAAATGATACAGCCATAATTGAAAGGTTTGGTGGGTCCCCAAAAGTCAAAACAAAAAATTTACCATATGACACAGCAATTCCATTCCTAGGTATATGCCCAGAGGAATTGAAAGCAGGGACTCCAGCAGATTCTTGTATGCCAGTATTCATTATTACATTATTACATTAATCACAATAACCAGTAGATGGAAACGGCACAGGTAAATGGATAAATAAAAGGTGGTTGTTCCATACAATGGAATGGAATTCAGCCATTAAAAGGAAGGAACTTCTTACACATACTACATCGAGGGTTAACCCTGAGAACATGCGGAGTAAAATGAGCCAGATATAAAAGCACAGACACTGTATGCTGTACTGACAGGGTATGTCCAGAACAGGCAAATTCATAGGAACAGTACAATAGATTAGAAGTGTTCGAGGTTTGAGGGGAGAGAGGAATTTGCTCAATGTTTAGGAATTTCTGCTTGTGGTGAGGAAAAAGCTTTGGGATTAGTAGTGATGGCTGCACAACATTATGGATGTAGTTAATGCCACTGAGCCATACACAACAGTGGTTAACAAGGCAAATTTTGTTGTATTTATTTCGCCATAATTTTAAAGATTAACAATGTAATATACCAAAATGTACTGATTTTGTACACTTGAGGTGAATTGTATATGGGAGTTAAATCTCAACAAAGCTGTTGAAAAAGGATACAAAAGCAAAATGAAGACATTGTCACATTTACAAAAGTTGGAACAATTTATTACCTGCAGAAACATATTACAAGAAATGTTTAAAGATGTCATTCAGGGGAAAAGGAAATGAAACCAAGTGGAAATCACTATCTACCAGAAAGAATGACAGGCAAGTGCCAAGTACTTAAGTAAATGTATATTTATTTCTTCATAGGTAAGTTCCCTTAAAAGGTAATTGGCCAAGTATTAGTGTTCTATTGCTGTGTGACAAATTTCCACAAATTTAGCAGCTTCACACAGCACCCACTTACTAGCTCATAGTTCTGTAGGTAGAATGATGTAGTGTGTGTGGGTTTTCTGCTCAGATAGCCAGCAGCTGACACCAGGTGTTGGCAGGTCTGAGTTCTCACCTGGAGGGTGTGGGGGAGCGTCCACTTCCACACTCACTCGGAGTTCCGCATGGCTACAGGACAGCTCCTGTTTCCTTGCTGGCTATCTGCCAGATGCCACCCCTCTTGCCACATGGCACCTTCCACCTTTAGGCCAGCAGTGCACATCACATGTGTCTTGTGCTTCGAATTGCTTCTGCAGTCAGTTGGAGAAAACACTTTCCTTACCTGTAAAGTAAGGGTGTTAGATGAAGTCAGGTTTTGAGTTTTTGTTTGATTTCCTCAAAAAAGAGAATTTGTAGCAGTAGAACAGTTTGATTCCAAATGAAATTTGGCATTGAACTCGGGAGATTAAGGGGGGAAAGGCAATCTACCTGGCTCTTTTCTTCCTCCTCTTGGGAACTTGGAATATCTCTGAGGTTCCTCCATGTGGTAAGAAGGAGTCTGGGCTGAGGATTTATGAAACATCCCAGCCACAGCAAACTTATGTCAGGTTTCTTCCCTTTCCCCAGCTTTGCCTTTTCAGATCCGTCATTACTTGGGAAAGCATCATCACGAACGCAGAGGGCATGGAGCCCAAGTCACTGACTGCCCGGTCCCCTGTAAGTTGAGCTGCCTTCTTTGTTTTCCAGCTGAGAATGTCTTTTTGTTTAGGCTCTGGAGTTTGGCTACCACTTCAGAAATTGTGTTTCAGACATTCTCCTCTAGGAGACTAGCACCATTTTGTTTGTTTTATTTGTAGAAGTAGTTTTCTAACTTCCTTTTCTGTCAAAGAAACAAGTTTATCAGTCACGGGGGCAGGAGTCATTGAGGTAATACTGAGGAATGAAACCCTCCCTGTTTGTCCACAGGAAGGAACTGAGCCCATAGCAAGCTTCCTCCTCCAAAAAAAAGATGAAAGAACTGAGAAGGGCGGTGCCTTTCAGGGTTTCTCTAGTCCCTGGCTGTCCTGGGTGTGGTTTTGGCCGGGTGAGCTCCCCCGTGGTGCGGGGGCAGGCCGTTCAGAGGAACTGAGAGACAAGTAACACAAGTATCAAGGGGTGATGCAACCCAGGCAGGAAGAGCTACAAGGAGGAAGGATCCTGTGGGAGCAGCAGCATGCCCCGAGAGACCAGATCGGGGACAGGGCTCCCTGACCCCAGTCCGCTTCTTCCCCCCAGGATTCCTCTCTTGTCACCTCCGCATACGTGGAAAACCCCACCAGAAAATGATGCAGGTTTTGTCTCAGCTGTCCTCCAAGGTTAGAAGGATTTAAGAGAGGAAAATTAGCTTATTATATTTACTGTTTTTGTTGCTTCTCTTGAATTCCTGAGATTTAAAGTTTCTCTCTGATATAGTTTCCCTTCTGCCTGAAGGAACTACCTTTCTCATGTCTTTTAAAGCAGGTCTGCTGGAGACAAATGCTGTTAGTATTACTTCATTTGAGAATGTATTTGCATCATTCCTAATAGATATGTTCATTGGACATAGAAATTCTGGCCTGACAGTTGTTTTCTTTCAGCATTAAAATATGTTATTTTACTGTCTTCTGACTTTTAAGGCCTTTGATAAGAAATCCTCGGTCATTAAATTAGGTTTTTTCCCTCCACATGCAGTCATCAGTTCTTTTTGATGTGGCATTATAATAAAAGGCCTTACATCTTTGTCTTTTGTTGTTTTTTGTCAAATTGTTTTGCTACTATAAAAATATAATATCTTCTTCATTTTTATGCCAATAAATATTTAGAGAAAATGTTTTAGATAATTATTTTAGGCCATAGAGCATGGCTAGGTTGGCCTGTTAAGCATTAAGTTACCCCGAACTCAAGACTGTTTCCCTCTCTTTTCCTGCCTTGAACTATGTTCTTTATTTCACATAACATAAACATAGGTTAACTTTTGGTTTCTGGTTCTCTTTGCTATAACTGTTTATAGTAAACTTGATTTAAATAAAAGTGGTTCTGACAGTTCCTAAACCTAAAGCATAACAGAACTGGTTTTAGGACTGTAGTCATCTAATACACCTAAGAGCTGCTATTCCTGTAGGACTTGACCAGCATCCAGCATAAATACCACTGACTCCTGGGGTAAATTGTGGTCCACCCTCTGTCCCTGCACTAGCACTGTCTACCGCATCTCTCTTTCTGTCAGTCTTCAGGGAAGGGAGGGCAGCGAGGTGCATCAGGCTTACTGCAAACTTGTTTCATGGTGCAGACACTAGTGACCTTCAAGGATATACATGTGAACTTCACCAGAGAGGAGTGGAATCTCCTGGATGCTGCTCAGCAGATCATGTACAAAGATGTGATGCTGGAGAACTACAAGAATCTGGTGTCCGTGGGTAAGGCTGACCTCTGTTTTTGGAGATGTACTCCCTGTGGCGATTTTGGTTCTTCGTTGATCAAAAGCTATGGACCCTGAAGTGTGTGTCAGAGTGTGAAGTTCGGTTCAGGGACCTAATTTCTTCGGTGCACAGAACATCATTTTTGAACTCCAGCTTTTGTGAAAAATAAATTGTTTTTGTTTGTTGGATTTGTAAAAAGGCACCTTTTGCTGCCTCTATAGCCTCACCGTCTCTGCTCTTCAGAGCTCCCCAGGGCTCCGAAGGGCTTGGGGGTCCGGGTTAAATCTGGGGTGCTTCTCTGTGTCCACCTCAGAGCTCCCCAGTCCTTGCCCAATTCTTTATCTTTCACTGTGACCAGGACATCAGCTTCCCAAGCCAGATGTGATCCTCCAGTTGGAGAAAGGGGAAGAGCCATGGCTCGTAGAGAGAGGCGTTCGCCAAGACACCCATCCAGGTAAGGACAGAGTAGAGGCTAGCATCCCTGGAGATAGTGGTCACTAGTCTCATTTCTGAGAAATCTCAGTTTATTTACCCTCTACTTCCCCCAGCTAGTCTTTCTACAGTCTTGGCATTTGCATACATAGACAACAGTGCCTTCTTTATTAAAATTACGTTTCTCTTGATGAGGTTGGTTTGATCCCTGCTTAGTACCACCAACTCTAGCATCCCCATTCCGTCATTTTTACAGAACCCATTTTTCTCTATGCCTGTCTCTTCCCCTTTCACGTGGACCTTCCCACAGCCTCTCTGTAGGCTCTGCAGTGGGACCACTGTCCTCAGTTGTCCCTGCCACTTAAGAAACGCAGCAGAGCTCACCTGTGCCCACTGCTTCATTCTCCTTGTCCAGAACTGCTGGTCTCACCCACCTGTGTTCCTAACCCATGCTGGCTTTTTATTTAGTGTTTTTTTTCAGTGTATACCTATTTTATTTCAATCTTACCACATAAAATGCAAACCATTTTGTGGATTCCTGGCATCACTTCTTTTCCCAACTTCCCTGTGTGTAGAAAGTCAGCCTTCTAGGTTAAGAGATAGAAAGTAGTCTTTTGTTTTCCTCCTCCTCTATTCTCTATAAGCGATCTTTTCTCTCACCTTTGTTTCTGAGCTCAACATTCAGACATTTTTCTCCTCAGACCTCGTGGGTATTGCTTGTCTGAGTCATGCTGTGACAAGCTGACTTCACATGCACAGAACAGCCAGGACACTTGCTGGTGACTCTCTCCAGGTTTCTATAGACATCGAGCTTTCCAAGCCCAGAGCAGCCTGCAGGTGTTTCCGTCTGATACCGAACATGTGTGCCTGGGCGTTTCCCTCCATCTCAGGCTTTGCGTGTGATGTAAATAAAGTCCTTCAGAGTTAGCTGCCCTGTGAGTTTTTCCTCAAGTCCTTTCTCTGTGAAACCTTTGTAACTTCTCATCAAGTACAGCTCTCTTCCTTTTCCAAGCCTCCACTTTGGTTAAGTTCACAGCAGATCCTTCATTGACTTCATTTAGTTCACAGTTTCGCGACAGCATTGATGCGATGCCATAGGATGCAACTGTTGTTTATGTCAGTTAGCCTAGGGTGAAAATGTTTTGTTTTATGTCATTTTGCCTAGAGTTGCAGAACCTACTGATGATGTTGAGGACTTACTGCACTTTTAAATATCATAAACACTTTGAGTTTTTTTTCCCATTTGGTCTTATAAGTGATCGTACCAAATTCCTGTTTCAAGGGCAGGTCTTTGAATACACTTAAGAACTTGAGCAGTCAGCCGCTCTCAAAAACACATGGGAGACGAGATTGTTCTCTGTTTTCTTTCATTCTCTATTAGTTTCTTTATTTTCTCCATTCATGAGCTCATTTATTTAGCAAGCTTTCCTGGATGTGTGTTGACAAGTATCCAAAAATAATTGACTAGATACAGTTGTTTAGATTTTTATTGAGAGTTTGTTATCCAAAGAAATACTAAAACTCTACATGCTTAAACTCATGTAACACATACAATCTTTCACAGCAAATACTATGTCCTGGGGTTACAGATAACCAAAGTGATTTTTGTGAACTTTATCGACTGGTCTGAATCCAGCACTAGTTGTGCAGAGGTGAGATTAGCACCTGTATCTGGGTAACTTCTGTGTGGTGGCTCTTCCAGCCTGCTGCCTGGCCCCGGTGAGGTTCATCGTGGCAGTTGTCTGGGCATTGTGCTGCAGTGCTTTGGTGCTGTAGATGAGAGGTACTGCCTGACATGGCTGCATTTGTGATTTGGGAACATTAAACTGGCTGTAGTGTGAAAAAGGCATGTTGGGGAGTGCTTGGCAACAAGTAGACACTTAGGTTCTTATGTCATTAATAGTCGAATTAGAACAAGGGAGTGCAGCCTGTCCAGTGGGATTTCCTTTACAGGCTCCCTCACCACTCAATATCCTGACCCCACATGTCACACCCAGCCCTGTGGCTTCCCCTTGCTCTCTTTGCTCCTTGTATGTACTGTGTTGCCCGGCACATTTCCTGTTTACTGCTGTGTTCTTCCCTTTCTCATGCTCTATCCAGGTTGTGGAACCATGTCTGAAAGCACCTCTACATGACTTACATGCTTGGTCTCCACATACACCCCATCATTCTAATGTTAGTACTTTTTTAATTATGCAGAGCTTTTTCATTTCTTTCAGATTGGGATACTGCAGTTGAAATTAAGTCAATTTCCAATAAGAACATTTCTAAAGGTAAACAATCCTATGACATTAAAACGGAAGGAATGGCAAAGAGTGATCTCTGGTATCTGTCATTAGAAGAAGTCTGGAAGTGTGAAGACCAGTTGGACAAGTATCAGGAAAGCCAGGAGGGGCATTTGAGGCAAGTGGCATTCACCCAAAAGAAAGTACTTACTCCAGAGAGAGTCAGTGGAAATGGTAAATTTGGGGGAAACTGTCTCCTTCCTGCTCAACTGGTACTGACAGAGTACTTCCATAAACATGAGTCACGTGCTAAAAGTTTAAAAGGTGATTTGGTTTTCAGGGGTCATCAGGAAAGCTATGTAAGTAATAGCAGTGAATGTGGCCAACCCTTCTGTCAGAACATTCACCTTATTCAATTTGCAAGAACTCAAACAGGAGATAAATCCTACAAATGCCCTGATAATGGTAACTCTCGTAGTCATGACATGTCCCTTGGTGTATCAAAGGGTATACACAGAGAGAAACCCTATGAGTGTAAGGAATGTGGGAAATTTTTCAGCTGGCGGTCTAATCTTACTAGGCACCGGCTTATTCATACTGGAGAAAAACCCTATGAATGTAAAGAATGTGGGAAATCTTTCAGCCGGAGTTCTCACCTCCTTGGACATCAGAAAACTCACACTGGTGAAGAACCCTATGAATGTAAAGAATGCGGAAAATCTTTCAGCTGGTTCTCTCACCTTGTCACCCATCAGAGAACTCATACAGGAGACAAACTATACACATGTAGTCAGTGTGGGAAGTCTTTTGTCCATAGCTCCAGGCTTATTAGGCACCAGAGAACTCATACTGGAGAGAAACCTTATGAGTGTTCTGAATGTGGGAAATCTTTCAGACAGAGCACACATCTCATTCTGCATCAGCGAACTCACGTTCGAGTGCGACCCTATGCATGTAATGAATGTGGGAAGTCTTACAGCCAGAGATCTCACCTCGTCGTACATCATAGAACTCACACTGGACTGAAACCCTTTGAGTGCAAAGATTGTGGAAAATGCTTCAGTCGAAGTTCTCACCTTTTCTCACACCAGAGAACCCACACTGGAGAGAAACCATATGAATGCCATGACTGTGGAAAATCCTTCAGCCAGAGTTCTGCCCTCATTGTACATCAGAGAATTCATACTGGAGAGAAACCATATGAATGTTGTCAGTGCGGGAAAGCCTTCATTCGGAAGAATGACCTTATTAAGCATCAGAGGATCCATGCTGGAGAAGAAACCTATAAATGTGACCAATGTGGAATCCTCTTTAGCCAGAGCTCTCCACGTATAGTCCATCAGATTGCTCACACTGGAGAGCAGTTCCTAACATGTAATCGCTGTGGGTCAGCACTTGTCAACAACCCTAACCTTATTAGATACCAGACAAATCATATTAGAGAAAATACTTATTAATGTAATGAACATGGGAAATGTCTCATAAAGAACAATAACTTTATTTAGCTTTGGAGAACTCCTAGAGAGGAACTGTGCAGATGTAGTCCCTGTGGAAATGCTTTCAGTCTTGTTGCTACCCTTTTCCGTGCTAGACACTTGGTCTTAGAGTGGGGGGGGACCCCACAGATTTCACTTTAGTACACAAATACATTAGATTTTATTCTTTCCTCAAACTTAATGAAGGAATTGGCCTGGGAGCATTGTTGACCAAGCTCTGAGCACTAAAATCTGATAAGGAACCACTAAGTAGGTGAGTTGTTGAGAGGCAATGCAGCTTTCTTACCTTCTTTAAAAAAGTAAACAAATAATGATAATGCTGCTTCAAAAAGGTAAATGACAGTTGTTACTGAGAAAAATAGAAAATTGACAGCTATTATAACAAAAGATGGAAAATAATATTCCAGTGAATTGATAGGCCATTTTTACTCTCGTCTCGGATACTTAATGTTGTGTGACTTGTTTTATGTGTCTGATGTGACCATGTTTTGGTTAGTCAGGAAAATGAAAATCCTTATAATGGAAAACAACACATTTGCTAGTAGTAGTACCTATTGTGAAATATATTTGCATGTGGGCAAGAACTGAAAAAGTGTCTAGGGATAAGTGAATAGAATGGATTTGTTAGATAACGGGATAATGAGTGAGTTTTATAGTTTATTTGGTGTTACTGCAATACTTTAATGAAGGTATTTTTAAATATAAAAAAGGATATCTAGTTTCTGTATTCCACCATTAAGGAAGCTTAAGAGGCACCTAATAGCAAACTTTGCCATTAATTCTAAATTATTTTGGGTTATAGAGTTGTATTCTTTGAACAGGGCACTAAAGTCTCCTGTGAATTTGAAAATAGTGATTCTCTGGACTTTGGGACCTAGAGGAACTTAGGGTATTTCGAACACACCAGGGAGGGTCTCCGTTTTGAGTGGGAGCAGGCACCTGGGTAATACTTGGAACAAGTGTGCTCGGGATGTAAACACAGCACTACCCAAAAAGCACCTTCCTTCCAAAGTAGTCTTTTGTCTTTACAAAGAAGACTTGGGCCCTGGCCAGTATGGCTCAGTTGGTTGGGCCTCATCCCACAAATGAAAAGGTCACAAGGTGAATCCCCTGTCAGAGTACATGGCTAGGTTGAGGGCAAACAATGGATGTTTCTCTCTCACATTGATGTTTCTGTGCTTCTCTTTCCCTCGCTCTAAAATCAATAAGCATGTCCTCAGGTGAGGATAAAGGGGAAAAAAGCAGACTTGGTGATTAAGAGTATTAAGCTTAAGTTAGACTTAAGTTCAAAGCCCACCTCTGCCCTAAATTTGCTGGGCAAACTTAGGCATGCTACCTAGCTCCTCTGTGCCAACTTGTGGATATCCTCTGTGAATTAGAGATAATATTACTTACCTTGTAGGGTTGTGGTGAGAATTAAATCAGTAAACATATAAACAGTTTAGAATAGTGCCTGGCATACTAAGTGCTTTACAGTTATTAACTGTGATTATTAATATTGTTATTGCTTCACCCTAGTGTCATTTAAAACTTCCTGAGTGCTAATAAGAACTCCTTGAATTCTCAATTCCCTTCCGGTCATACATGTTTTTCCCTTTTAGATACATCAGAATTTATCAACATGAGGATATCACTGACCCATAGTGGGTGTATGGATTCATTTCTGAGGATCAATTAACAAATTTTAAAATTTTATGCAAAATCATTGTGTTCATGCAAAGGTTTTTCTTTTCTTGGGAGAGGATCCTAATCTACAGATTCTCTGGTAAGTCCATAATTTGGGAAGAGAATCTGTCTTAATTCTGTTTCATTGTATAAATGGCTCTCCTATGTGTAGGGACTGACCATTATTTGCCATTTTCTGGCAAACAAAATATCTGTTAAATGCTCAGTGATTGATTTTTGAATGATAAATATTGAGACCAAACAAAATCTTTATATCTTTCCCAGGAGAAAAATCTAGAAACGATTGTTAGCATCATGAGACAGCAGAACTACAAGGAACATGGACTGTTTAACTCATGCTCTTCATGGTACAGTTGAGACACTGTGAGTTGGCCCAGGGCCTCACGTTTTGAGTGAAGTCAGACCCAGACCTGGGTCGCAGGTCCCTCGATCACTGCTGCTCTCTCAGTGCTCATGTGCCATCAACACACGTGACGTATTCCTCCCAGAGCCAGTTTTCACCGTGAGCAGGGGCTCTTTGTGGGAATGCAAGAGGAGTCCCTTCACTGAGCCCTGTGGGCTTTCTATGGCCAGTGGATCACTTTTTCTCAACTGTAAAATGGAGGTACTACTAGTATCTACCTCAGAGAGTTGGGTGGCTTAGTGTGATAACGTGTATAATGTATTTACAACAGTGTCTGGCACGTAGTAGATGCTGTATGTGTTGGAATGTGGGAGGAGATGTCTTTATGGATGATCAATGAAATGTTACTTATGATAGTGCAAAATTTACAATATATAAATGTATAATAGCAAAAGGATTATAGTATATCTATGTAATATGCAGACATTAAAATTATGCAAAGAAAGTTTGGTAACTTAGGAAAAATGTTGATGCTGTCATGTGTTAGGAAAAAGCATGGTAAATAATTTTTCATATGAAATAAGCTCAAATATGTAAAAAAATAAATGAACTGTAAAAAATGAAACGTGCTCAAAACTCTAAGGAACTTTGTTAGGAGATTAACTGCAGTTAACCTACATATTAGGAGATTTGGCATTTACTTTTCTATTCTTTCAAAAGTCTCTTAAAAGAATACTGATTACTTTTAGGACCAGGAAAACAGTCTTGAAGGTGATGGAATGTTTTTTCTTCCAAAGGTCTTATCTACAAATAAGTTAGAACTTTAAGGGGATTGGGTGAGGTCACAGGATTCAAGATCAGCACACAATAATTGATTTCAGTTCTAGCATTGCACAATTTGGAAACGAAGTCAGAAATACAATCTCATTTACAATGGTACAAAAATGTAAAATAGATAAATTAATGAATCAAGTAAGTTCTGTACAGTAAAAAGTGTAAAGCATTTCTGAAATTCAGGAACACATACTCAAGAATACATACTGGATGATAAATGGAGTAATACCCTATGGCCAAGGGTTGGAAAACTAAATATTGTTAAGATGGCAGTTCTCCCCAAATTAATTTTTAGGTTCAGAGGCATTTGTGTGGAATTAGACAAGCTAATCAAAAGTGTGTATGGAAATTTAAAGGACCTAGGATAATCAAAGCAATTTAAATATAAAAGAGCAATGTTGGAGGGCTTCCACTGCCTGATTTCAAAGTTTGCTGTAGAACCACAGTAATGAAATGTTGGCATGAGGATAGATTCAGATCAGTAAAACAAGAGTCCAGAAATGGACCTCCACATACATTGTCAACTACATTTTGATACAAGTGCCAAAATAATTCAGTGTGGAAAAGATAGTCTTTTAAACCAGTCATGTGAAAACTGAATATTTTTATTGGGGAAAAAACCTTTCACATAAAAAATTTTTTTCAAAATGCATCACAAACCTAAATGCTAAAGTTAAAACCTTTAAATATCTAGAAGAAAAGAGGAAATATTTATGGCTGTGATCTAGGGAAAGATTTCTTATAGCACAAAAATCATGAATCATAAAGGAAAAATTGGCAATTGGACTTCTTAAAAATTAAAAACTTCAGGTCTTTTGAAAACACTATCAAGTACATAAAAATGCAATCCATAGACTAGTACATATTCACAATACATGTATGTGACAAAGCCATGTATCCAGAATACAAAGAACCCTGTAAGTCATATAGGAAGACAACAAACCAATAAAGACAGTATTTTACCAGATGCTTCACTTATAGGAAGACATGACTGTCCAATCAACCCATGTAGAGATGCTCAACATCATTAGTTATCAGGGAAATTCAAATCTAAATCATGATGAGATAGAATTTCACACCCAGTAGAATGGGATAAAATGTGGGCATAGCCCTGGCTGGTGTAGCTTATTGGATTGAGTGCAGGCCTGTGAACCAAAGGTTTGCTGGTTCAATTCCCAATCAGGGCACATGCCTGGGTTGCAGGCCAGGTCAGGACCCAATGTGTGTGAGGCAACCCCACATTGATGTTTCTTGCCCTCTCTGTCTCCTGCCCTTCCCCTCTAAAAATAAATGTTTAAAAAAATTAAAAGTTGAACAACAATTAAAATAAAATTTTTTAAAAATTAGAAAAAAATAAGTGAGCATAACCATCCTTAGTAAGGATTGGTGACGTTAGAAGCCTCTTACATTGCTGGTGGGATTATAAAATAGTGCACTCTCTATGGAGAACAGTTTGGCATATGTTCAAAATGCTAAACATATACCATTACCATATGACCCATCAGTCCCATTCCTTGAAAATGTAAACAGATGATGTATATACCAATTCACAACATCTGAGTGGATAAACAAATTGTGGTTTAGCCCTATGATGGAATAGTACCCAGCAGTAAAATATAACTAAAGATCCAGTAGCATGGTGAAATCTCAAAGACATTCTAAATACAAGAAGTGAGACACAAAAGAGTATTCACTGTTTGACTGCCATCTATGAAATTCTAAAGCAGTCTCCCACGACGACATACATCAGTGCTGCCTGTGCCTGTGCGTGGGAGAGTGCTTCACCGTCCACCGGGCCGTGAACAATCCGGATCTTCGTGGCGGTTCCTTGATTGTTACTGAACACCCTTCATACGGACCCGGGTTGCTGTATATACATTATACCTCAGTAAATCTGATTGAAAATACCCATAAAAAGCAGGGAGTTCTGGGGAACAAGAGCTGCAGCTCCAAGCGAATGCTAGTAACAGTAATTGTAATTGCTGATTTTTAAAACTACAGTTTAATATGAGGTAGCCAATCCACTAAGCCTTTTAATACATGAGATTATAACCCTGTGAGGAAGATAATATTATAGCCCCTATAGTTAAGGCACCTAGGTTTTGGAATTTTTAAGTAATTTGCCCAAATTCACGTAGCTAGTAAATGGAGCTTCATCTGAGAAAGGAGCGGGCATGTGTGTGGCAGGTCACGGAAGAGGATGGGTGGCATATAGTAGAGGGTCTTTAAAAATTAGCTGTTGTAATATAAAAGATAAGTACACACGACCTTTCGTTGACACATTTAAAAGATTCCTTCCTTCCCCTCCAAAAAATAGTTTTAAAATTGCACCCCTAATTTGAGGGGAAAACAATTCTATTAAAATGTTAATGTTACACATTTTTTAATTATTAGTGTAAATTAGGACTTTTATCAAAAAGCAGGGCCCTTAGTACACTTAATGTATTCGACTGCCATCTCTGTGTTATTACTGCCAATTACTTTAACTCTTTATACTATATATTTAAAGGCTAAAATGCCCACGCCCTAGTCCTGGGCAAGAGAGGCCGAGCTTTCCCCGCTACCACACGGTGGGCGCGCCGGGGCTGCCGCAGAGGCTCCTGGGAGTTGTAGTTCGGTCTGTTCTTGGTCTCCCTGACGCATTTCCTGTGCGTCCCTGTCAGCAGCCGTTGGCTCCGCCCAGGCCCGAGAGCCGCGCTCCGCATTCCGTGCAGGCTGCCTTCACCGGTCGCCAGTCATCGCGGTCACCCGAACTGCAGTGGGCTGTCCTCGTCGCCCCGAGGGGTGTCACGGAAGCGCCCAGGACGGGCTTCTGAAAGTCAGAGCAAGGACGAAGTCGATCTGGCCGCAGGTCCGTAGGTGGACGCGGCCAGTCTTCCCCAGTTCCCCGCCGCCCATTCAGGGATCCGAGGAGCCGATGCTCCAAACCCGTCGTTTCCAGGCAGCGGACGGTACGGACTAGTCCTGGCCTCCCTGCAGCCCGCCCGCGGGCGCGGCTGGGGCGGAAGCGGGGAGCCCAGCGGCTGCCGCTGTCGGCCTCCTCACGCGGGCGGGGCACGGACGGCGCGGGGATGGCCACCAGGGTCCGCACAGCTGCCACCTGGGTGAGTCGGGTTCCGTCTCCTTTGTGTAAAGCTGCCCCCGAAGCTGACGTGTGTACTTGCCAGCTCCTCCAGGGCGATGGAAATGTCGTCCCCTGCTGACGTGATTGTTGCAAAACCATCAAATTACTGAAGGTCACTGAAGTTAAAAATTACTCTCTTCATGGAAACTTCATTGAGGTATAAATTATATACCGTAAGATCTATCCGTGTAAAATATGTCATTATGCCGTGGCTGGCGTGGCTCAGTGGATTGAGTGGCAGCCCGGGAACCAAAGGGTTGCCGGTTTGAGTCCCAGTCAGGGCGCGTGCCTGGGTTGCGGGCAGGTCGCCCCCTGCGAGCGCGTGAGAGGCAACCACACGTTCTTGTCTGTCTCCTTCTCTTTCTCCTTCCCTTCCTTCTAAAAATAAATAAAATCTTTATATCATATAGTCGTTAATATAGCAGCACCCCCCACTGTGCGTACATCGCTTTCCACTTAAAGGAGGCACGTTATGGCTTCCCGCGGCGTATTGGAATTAACCGCCTCACTCCGGCAGTGCTTCGCGCCGTTCTGAAGTGAAGCACGGGCTAATGCAGTGCAGCGGCTGTGACGCCACTGCAGCCCACAGTGCGCACATCCTGGCGAAGGGGTCCTTCGTGTCCTGGGTGGGACAGAGTGGAAAAACGCAGGATTTTGTCACGCTACTTAGAATGCTTTACAACTTAAAACTCGTAAATTGTTTGCTTTGTGGAATTTTGCATTTAATGCGTTTGGACCGCCGTTGACCATGGAAAGTGAAACAGCAGATAAGGGGCGATTACTGCCCTCATGGAGTTGTGCAAATATCACCACCATCTGATGCCAGAACCTTGTCGCTGCTGAGAGAAACCCTGTCCCCAACCATGAATCTACTGTGTGTTCTCGTGAATTTACCTATTTTGGACATTTTCCTGTAAATTGAATCATACCATACGTGGCCTTCTGTATCTGGCTTCTTTCATTTAGCGTGTTTTCGAGGTCGCTCTGTGTTGCGCTCAACCCATTGTTCTCAGTCACGACGCTGCTGACCGGGGCTGCAGGGCACAGTCTTCCGGTCCGTACCCACAGACGTGCCCTCGCCCGGATCTAATGTTGTGGCTGCACCGGCCTTTGTGGTTCTTACTGTGGTTGTAAGAAACACGTCAGCAACAGCCGTCAGGGAACTTTGAGAAAACAAGGATTGTTACTCCCAGGTCCTGGAAGGTACATGACACACCTGAGGGCCACATAGTAAGGTCAGGGTGGAGAGGGCAAGCACACACAGGCCTGGGGTTCTGCCTTGGTTGGGGTGGAAAGGTGGGGGTACCTTTGGTACAGGTTCGCACTTTTTTGGTGAATTTAAAATTTAAGGCTTGGAATTAAAGCACAGGAAGGGAAAAGCATGGTCACTCATGTCATCTGTTACCTGCATAAACCAGGGCTTTTGTAAGGGGAAGTTCCTGGGTGAGGCTTCCTGGCTCTTGGTGTCATTTGTGTAGTTGACTGTGTGCATCTCAGAAGGATGTCTTTGAAGTGGACGCCTCAGCAATCAAAAGCTTAATGTCAAAGACTTACAGGATAAAAAGCTAATTGAGAGACACTTAAACCACAAAAGTTAGCATTTATCAGTACTTTATTATCGCTTAATAACACTCCTGTGTGGAGATGGGACCCCATTTTGGCTGTCCATTCATTCATTAATGGATGTTTGGATTGTTTCCACTTTTTGGCTATTGTGAATAATGCTGTTACGAACATTTGTGTAGTGTTTGTATGAACAGACGCTTTTATTTCTCTTGGCCAGATACCTAGGACTGGAATTTCTGGGTGATATAGTAACTCTGTGTAACATTTTGAGGAACTGCCAAAGTGGTCCAAGGTGGCTGCTCCATTTTGCTTTCCCAACTGTAACATGTGACAGTTGTAACTCTCCTGCCCTATAGTGAACATAAAATGCTGTTTAAATATCAGTGCTACTACTGTATCATGGTACATTCAGACAGTCCTTGCTTTCATCCCTTCCACTCTATTTCTCTCTTCCAGAGGTAAGCACTTTTACAGTTTCTAGTTCTTTTCAGTGATTCTTTTAGAAATACAAGCAGGCACACACACACACTCCTGACCTGACTCATTGCAAAGCTTTGTCAGGAAGCCCATGTTTCTGCCTCAGGCCTTTTCCTAGAGCTCAGCGTGCCTTGTCTCGCGTGTGCATGTTGTATTTTGTTAAGAAAATTTTTGGAATAAGATAACTCTGGACACTCCCCTCTTTATATCCTCTCTGATTATTTCTTAGATCCTCTTCTTTTTTTTTTAATCCTCACATGAGGATATGTTTATTGATTTTAGAGAGAGAGGAAGGGACACACACACACACACACACACACACACACACTGATGTGAGAGAGAAACATCCATCAGTCGTCTCCCGTACATGCCCTGACCAGGGATGGAACCTGCAACCTGTTGGGGACCCAGCTGAGCCACCCGGCCAGGGCAGATCCTCCTGTTCTTGCATGCCCACAGCACTGTGAGGTCACTTTGTGACTCTATGGGGATATAGTTTTTAGCCGCCTGCAACTCTGAACTTGAGAAACGTTGCTCAGAGTCCACTCAAGGGAGGTACTCTCCTGTTGGGGATGAACATTCATTGGTGACTTCAGAGATTTGTAGTGTGTGGCTCATCAGAATTTTCCGTCATTTCCCACACTTCCTCTGCTGGGAGTTGGTCTCTGTGAGGAGACCTGTCACCTCGGTTTCGTTTGTTGTAGGTGTCTGGGCTTTTTCTGGCCTCTTGTTTTTATTGGGAGTTTGGGGGAGATTAAATAATGACACTGCTGCCCTGATCTCATCCTACTCCCAATGTTTTAACAACAAAAAGTAATGATCAGTGGGAGAGGCGAAGTGAATTTATTCATCAGCATCTGGATAGTGAGAGAAGGAACTCTTAACTGAAACAGACTGTTTCATTCAAAATCCATTGCTTGTGTACCCTTCCCCCCCAAAACAGTGTTTACTTCCGAGCAACTGGCATCTTGTTCTTAGTTAAGTGGCTGCCCAAGGTTGTCTGACTCTCAGGGTGGTGGTTGTGCTTGTGAGGTCCCGGGGCCCTCTCAGAACCCGAGGCGGTGGAGAGACTCTTCAGGTGCCAGATTTCCCACAGTGGCACTGACCACAGTCTGCAGACCGCCTGTCCTGGCCTCCTGCAAACATGTTCTCTGGCAAAAGAGGCCAAGATGGGGGCCCAGAGGATGTATGCTTGGTAAAGTGGTTTCCTCTTGAGTCTACAGGTCCCACCCCTTCAGGAACGAGACAGTTCAGGCAGTAGGATCAGAGAGCTCCGAGGTCAGGAACCCATTGTGGGTCAGAGGACGCCTTCCCCAGGAGGACCCCAGCGGAGGCAGAAGAGTCGGTGGACAGAGCAGGTCCCACACTGGCTGTTTACTTCCCAGGAACAGCTGCAAACCACCAAGTCCCAGGTGAGTTGCTTGTTTAATGATGCCAGATTCTTTATTAGTTTTATTCATTCATTTACTTGTGCAATTTTTTGTTGGGGGGAGGGATGTGATTCTTAGCTTAATGGGTCAAGCTAGTCACTCCCAGTTTGTGGCCTGCTTATCGTGATGGTTCCTGTAGTTTCCGTCTGCCTTTCTTTCTGTATTTCCTGGTCTCCCCATCCTCAGTTTCCATATCCTTTTCCACCTCCCCCAACATTAGCTTGTGTTTTATGGATATCCTTTGGTTTATGTGTTCATAAAATGAGTATTGTTGTTGCTGTGTATTTTTAGTTCCCACTCCCTCCTCCCGCAGCCCCTGGCAACCACCTTTCTCCATTCTCTGCCTGTGGTTCCCGCTACTCTGGACGCTGCCTGTCAGTGCACTCATTTGACAAAATGTCCATGAGGGTTATCCACGATGGAGTGTGTTGCATAATTTCCCTCGTCTAAAGGCTGCCTGGTTTTCCATTGTATGCACATATCACACTTACTCATCCCATTGATGAACACTGGGACTGCTTCCACATTTTGGCCGTCGTGAGTAATGCTGCTGTGAACATGGATGTGAGTGTCTCTGTAAGACCCTGCTTTCTGTGTCTTTCGGTGTAGACCCAGATTTTCCCCTGAACACTGCTTTTGTTGCATCCGATAAATTGTGGTATGTTGTGTCTGGTTTTCATTCAAGTCTAAGTATTTACTAATTTCTCTTTTCACTTCTTTGATCCATTGGTGGTTTAACTGTTGGAAGACACCATCACCCCATACCACTTCCCATAGTAGCTATTCTGTTCCATCTTCCCACCAATATGTTTCTATTTTTTATGTCTTCTTTAATTTCTTCCAGCAAGGTTTTCTACTTTTCATTCTGCAAGTCATTTTTACCTCCTCGGTTAATAAAATACTTAGAAATTTTATTTTTTCCTAAGTATTTTATTTTTTTAATAATATTATAAATGGAATTGTTTTCATAATTTGCTTTTCAGGTTGATAATTGTTAGTGTACAGAAATACCAGAGCCCTGGCTTTTGGCTCAGTGGACTGCGCACCGGCCTTCAACCCAAAAGCCCACAGGGTTGACTCCCAGTCAGAGCACATGCTTGGGTTGTGGGCCAGGTCCCCAGTTGGGGGAGTGTGAGAGGCAACCGATTGATGTTTCTCTCCCACTCCTTCTCCCTCCTTTTCCCTCTCTTTGAAATTTGAAAATAAAATTTAAAAGTATGGAAAAAAAAAGAATTTTATATTAAAAAAATACAATTGACTTTTGTGTGTCAACTTTGTATCCTGCTACTTTGCTGAATTTGTTCTGTTTTTTGTTTGTTCGTTTTGGTGGAATCTTTAAAGTTTTATACATATAGGAACATAGAATCTCTGAACAGAGATAATTTTACTTTATTTACAATTTGGTTACCTTCTCTATCTTCTCACTTCTCATTTCCCTGCCTGGAACTGCCAGCCCCATGGTGGATAGAAGTGGGAGAAGCAGGCATCCTTGCCCTGTTCCTGATCTTACAGGGGAAGTGTACAGTCCTTCACCATTGAGAACGATGTTCACCGTGGGCCTTTAGTATGTGGTTTCTATCATGTTGGGCACTTCTGTTTCTAGTGGTTCAGCGTTTTTATTGTTAAATGATGTTGAATTTTGTCACTTTTTAAATTTTTTTAAAGATTTATTTATTTTTAGAGAGGGGAAGGGAGGGAGAAAGACAAGGAGAGAAACATCCATGTGTGGTTGCTTCTCATGCGCTTCCGACTGGGCATCTGGCACGCAACCCAGGCATGTTCCCTGACTGGGAATCGAACCAGAGACCATTTGGTTCTCAGGCTGGCACTCAATGCACTGAGCCACACCAGCCAGGGCAAATTTTGCCATTTTTTTCTAAATTGAGGTCATTATTTTTTTTTCCAATTTGATCATAGTGTATAACTTTTAAAACATGCTGTTGAATTTGATTTGCTAGTATTTTATTGAGGGGTTTTTTTTAAAGGCAAAGATTAAAGATAGATTTTTTAAATTGATTTGAGAGAGAGGAAGAGAAACATCAGTTTGTTGTTCCAATTATTGATGCATTCATTGGTTGATTCTTGTATGTGCTTTGACTGGTGATTGAGCCCACAACCTTGGCATATCTGGACAATGCTCCAACCATCTGTGCTACCCACCCAGGGCCAAAACTTGGTGTAATATTTATCTTTTAAAATCTGTTGAGGCTTAATTTGTGGTCTAACATATTGTTTATCCTGGAAAATGCCCCATTTGCAATTGAGAAGAACAGGTATGCTGTTTTGGGGTAGAATGTTTTGTGTATGCATCTTTGGATCTAAAATGAGTCTCACCCTGGCTGGTGTGGCTCAGTGGCTTGAATGATGGCCTGTGAAACAAAGGGTTGCTGGTTCTATTCCCAGTCAGGGCACATGCCTGGGTTGCAGATCCAGTCCCCAGTGGGGCAGCGCATGAGAGGCAACCACACATTGATGTTTCTCTCCCTCTCTTTCTCCCTCCATTCCCCTCTGTCTAAAAATAAATAACATAAAATGAGTCTCTTGTACACAGCATATAGTTGAGAGAGAGAGAGAAACATTGATTTGTTGTTCCACTGATTTATGCTTTCAGTGGTTGATTCTTGTATGTGCCTTTAACGGAGTTTGAACCTGCAACCTTGGCGCTTTGGGACAATGCTCCAACCAACTGAGCCAGCTGGCCAGGGCCTACTCCCCTGAGTGTTAATGCATCTTCTCTAGCAGTGGTCACTTCTGTGGTACCCTTTCCCAGACTCTGCCTTCAGGCAGCATTGCTCTGCATCCCCTCTGTGCCCCTCATATGCTCTGTTATTTCATCCTCACCTTTTTGATGCCCAGTTGCATTTGTATGTATTTAACTCTGCTTTCCTCTCTGAGATGCTGAATGTTTCCTGGGAGCAGGACTATATCATCCTTTTTTATATCACCTGCACCTAGTTGAATACCTAGCAGCTACATTCAGTAACTACTACAAAACTAGGGTAACCAGAGCCGCCCGGGTATGCCTACAATTGTCCGTGTCTAGGAAAATCCTTTCCCTTTAGACAGACTGGGACAGTTGGTTACCCTGTCCATGTGGCTCCTAGGATAGCTTAAACATTTGAAGATACAGGCATAGCTTTATTGCAGTTCACACTTTTGTTCTTTGAAGATCCTGCCAGACCCTCTACGAACTAAAAGATTATGACTCACTGAAAGTTCAGATGCTGGTTATCATTTTTTAGGAGTAAAGTATTTTTTTAATTAAGGTATGTACATTGTTTTTTGGTTTTGACATAATGCTGTTGCACACTTAATAGACTTCAGTGTGGTGTAAACATAACCTTTATGTGCACTAGGAAACCACATTGTTCATGTGACCCTTCAGGGTGATACTTGTGTCATTGCAGTGGCCTGTGGGGTGTGCCTGTGTGTGTTTCCTGAGCAGCTCTTCGCCTGCTCTGCTGTGCCCGTGGTGTACTCTGTGTGTCCTTCTGTCTTGGCTTCTTCGACTCCCACTTGCATTTGTACGTGGTTGACTTTGCTTTCCTGTACATTGTCGGACACTTGTGGGCAGGCATTTGTTTCACCTGCTGTCTTAGCTGAACACCTGGTACCTGATATTCTTATATGTTGAACGAAAGGCTGACTAATACAGCACATATGGATGGGAAAATTTTCAATGAATTTTGCTTTTATCGCAAAGTAGAATGTAATTGATGGAAACCCTCAGAAGCAGTCTGCTGTTGCCCACAAACTCAGTCAGGTAATCTGTAACTGTATGGGGATATGCCATTTCAGGAGTCACTGTCATTCACGGATGTGTTTGTGCACTTTACCTGGGAAGAATGGCAGCTGCTGGACCCAGCTCAGAGACACCTGCACAGGAGCGTGATGCTGGAGAACTACAGCAACCTGGCATTCCTGGGTGAGTGCTGCTGACCTTGGGGGAGCCGCCTGGTTGCCAGGCTGCCTCCTGGCTGCTTTAAGCTGGGAGTTGGAGGTGGAGCTTTTGTAAAAGACTGAGTGATTATAGACTTCTGTGTAGAGTCCAGGTTCCCTTAGTCTCCCATTGCCATCAGAACATGCTCTTTGAATGGTGTTTGTTTAGCCAGAGTACAAAAGGGCAGCTTTATCATGTTGCCTCTTAACCAGATTGTCCCCATTTCTCCAGTATTCCTGAGCCCTAGGCAGCTTTGATCAAGGTTGTCTGTGATTTTCTGTTTGCAGGGTACCAGCACACCAAGCCTGATATCATCTTCCGGTTGGAACACGGAGAGCTGTGGATGATGCAGGCCCAAGTTGCCAGTCCAGGCCATTCAGGTGACTTAGATTTTTTTCCTTTTTATTTAGAATTGGTGTGAATTCTGAAATGATGTGCACCTCATGCTTATACTTCTTGTCTCACCTGTAAGCATTCTCTCTCGGTTACTTTCCTCTCTGGCTCTCTTAGTCTTCTTTTACTTTCCCATGCATCTTAGTGTGACTTTCGTATCCCTTCAACTTCCTTTCTGTTTTTTAAATACATTTTTATATCCCTTACACTTATGTTCCACAACGGCAGCCTCAATTTCCTTTCTTTTCCCTGAAACCACGCCTTCCATGTTTCTCCATGCTGATCATGGAGAATGTCCATGTAATGTCCTCACCGCCCTTGCCAGGTGCATTCCTGCATCGTTGATAGTGTCGGTTTTCCTGCCCAAAGCCTTCCCCCTCCCCCAGGCAGCACCCCACCACACCCCCTTCTGTGATGCACACTTGACGGGCTTCTGCTCGTGCTCCATTGGCTGCTCCTGCTGTTTCCTCTGAGCCCAAAGGAGTTTCTTTTTATATTTACCATTTGCGTCATATATTGTAAATTTTAAAAGATTTCTATTCTGAAGATTTAAACCCTTTTTTGTCTGTTGGGTGATTGATAGGCCATCCCTTTTTCATGCTGGGAGTGATTGGTCCACAGGGCATCTCGCCTGCCTGAGCCACTCCCTTGTCTCATTTTCACAAACTGGAACATCTCTTCCACTGCTTCGTAGCCACATCCTGCCTCCTCACCATCCTGATTGGTGCTTGTTTGTCCTGCCGCGCTCCTCGTTCTTCCTGGGCCCAGGGAGTCTTCGTCCGTTTTCATTTTTCATTTTGCCTATTCTGCCTTCTTTACCCATTATGCAAACCTTTTAAAGTCAAAATAATCTTTAATTATCATCACTTGCCTATGCCAATGTTCATTTCTGGTTTTCCTTTGTTTTCTCCAGTGCCCAGGAGTTTGGGGACATTTGTACTTCAGATTTGACTTATATTCAGGTCTGATCTCTGAACGTAAAACAATAACCTCATGAAATGGAATTTTCAAGGCAATTTTATGCTATACCAGGAGCATATTATCATTTATACCATGTTTCTATTTTTAGATAAAGCCTGTGAAATTGGTGATCATGTGGAATGTTATCAGGAAAATCAAGACAAGATGGGAAGTGTGTCAGATTGCTGTGAGTGTCCTGCATTTGGAGCACTATGTCTTCTTGCTACAGCTTGTATTCCTGCAAGACAAAAGCTTTATAAATGTGGCACATGTGGAAAGAGTTTGAAATATAATACAGACTTCAATAGTAATAATGTTGGAAAGAACCCTAATGGGTTTTATGCACAAAGGGAATCATTCCTCCATTGTAAACATGAACGAACTCTTTTTGGAGTAAAATACTGTGAAAGTAATGGATCTGGGAAAACTGTCAGGAAGCCACAACCCATGCGCCGACAAATCCGTATGGGAGGAAAGCCCTTCAGATGCAGTTACGGTGGGAATGTCTTCAGCAACAAGTCATGCCTTGTAGTGCATCAGCGAACTTATGCAGAGATGGAGACCTGCAAGTGTGATGGATGTGCCAGAGACATCAGCCCCAAGTGTCACTTCAGTGAACACCAGGGAAGTCACACAGGAGAGAGAGTATATGAATGCAGTGAATGTGGGAAAGTCTTCAGTAGGAAAGACCAGCTTGTTTCATTCCAGAGAACTCATTCAGGACAGAAACCCTGCAGGTGCAATGAATGTGGGAAAGCCTTCACGAGTCAGTCATACCTTGTTGTACACATGAGGACTCACACAGGCAAGAAACCTCATGAATGCCATGAATGTGGGAAATCCTTCAGTTTCAATTCACACCTCATTGTGCACCAGAGGATTCACACAGGGGAAAGTCCTTATGAATGCAGTGAGTGTGGGAGAGCCTTCAGTCGTAAATATCAGCTTATTTCACACCAGAGAACTCATGCAGGGGAGAAACCCTATGGTTGCAGTGAGTGTCAGAAAACTTTTGGTTTGAAGTCACAGCTCATTATACATCAAAGAACTCATACGGGAGAGAAACCCTATGAATGCAATGAATGTCAGAAAGCCTTTAGTACAAAGTCAAACCTTCTGGTACATCAGAGAACCCATACAGGGGAGAAACCTTATAGTTGCAGTGAGTGTGGGAAAGTCTTTACTTTCAAGTCACAGCTCATCATACATCAGGGATCACACACTGGGGTGAAACCCTATGGATGCAAGCAGTGTGAAAAAGCCTTTAGTTTGAAGTCACAGCTCATTGTCCACCAGAGAAGCCACACAGCTGTGAAACCCTACGGGTGCAGTGAGTGTGGGAAAGCCTTCACGAGTAAGTCATACCTCGTTATACACATGAGGACTCACACAGGCAAGAAACCACATGAATGCCATGAATGTGGGAAATCCTTCAGTTTCAATTCACACCTCATTGTGCACCAGAGGATTCACACAGGGGAAAGTCCTTATGAATGCAGTGAGTGTGGGAGAGCTTTTAATAGGAAAGATCATCTCACTTCACACCAGAGAACTCACGCAGGGGAGAAGCCATATAGGTGCAGCGAGTGTGGGAAAGCCTTTAGTAGCAAGTCCTACCTCATTGTACACATGAGATCTCATTCAGGAGATAAGCCACATAAATGTAACAAATGTGGGAAAGCTTTTATTTGGAAATCACTACTCATTGTGCACGAACGAACTCATGCAGGGGAAAACCCTTACAAATGCAGTCAATGTGAGAAATCCTTCTGTGGAAAACCACGGCTTATTGTGCATCAGAGAACACATGCAAGAGAGAAACCCTATGGATGCAGCGAGTGTGACAAGGCCTTCGTTAGGAAATCTCAGCTCATTGTACATCACAGAACTCATTCAGGCGAGAAACCCTATGGATGTAAAGAATGTGGAAAAGCTTTCTCGCAGAAGTCCGTTCTCAGCGCACATCAGAGGACTCACACAGGAGAGAAACCCTGGCAGTGCACTGGGTGTGGGAAAGCTTTTTGTTGGAAGTCACAGCTCCTTATGCATCAAAGAACTCATGCAGATGAGAAACCTATTGACAAGTTAAGTGTAAGAAACTTTCTCTCAAAAGTCAATTCGCAGGAAATAACCAGCAAATCCATATAGAAGAGAAACTCTATACATGAAGTCATTTTTTACACCAGGAATCTTATACTGAATAAAAGCCTTGTGAATGTACAGCATGTGGAAGGGTGGCCACAGAACACTTTTTATTTATTTTAGAAGAAAAGGAGAGAGAAACATTTGTTGTTCCAAATATTGATGTATTCATTGGTTGATCATCGTTTCCTGACCAGGGCTGACTCTGCCACATTGGCATAGTGGGACGATACTCTAACTGAGCTGCCTGGCCAAGACCCCAGAAAGGTGTTTTTTTAATCCATACTTTATTAATTAAACACTGGGATTTTAATGACAGAAAATGTCTACTCTGCATAGCAATATTCTTAACAAATGCAACTTTTTCCTAGGGTAAAATGACTTATTAAAAGTGTGTTTTAATAATAGAAACGACTTCTGTTATTCTCTTTGTGAGTGGACCTGGTGACACCTCTTTAGTGACGACGAACGTCACCGTGTGTGCATTTCTAACTGGGCAGGATGTCCTGATATGTGTGAAGACTCAGAACCCGTCACAGCACTTGCACTCACTGCACATACTCTGCCAAGGGGTGGGGTTTTTCACCAAGGTAGGCCGGTGTACTGGATGTGAAAATGTTAATGGACTCCTTAAGTACAGAAAAGCCAACAGGTCTTGTTTTCTGTTAATCACCTTTCAATTATTAATTAGTTCATTTTATATTGATTACCCAGTGTACCTTTAGCTATTGTCATTTTTTAAAATCCTCACCTGAGAGTATATTTATTGACTTTAGAGAGAGGAAGGGAAACATCAATGTGAGAGAGAAACACCAATCACTTTGCTCCTGTATGTGCCCTGACTGGGAATTGAACCCACAACCTAAGGATGTGCCCTGACCAGGAGCTGAACTGCAACCTTTTAGTGCACAGGACAATGCTCCAACCAAGCAATCTGTCCAGGGCACAATCGTCATTTTTAATTCTAGTTTACTTGTCTTTATTTTAGCTTTGTGGTATTTTTGTAATACATTTAAGTGATGCTGAAATATTTACATATAGTTGTAATGTAAGGGTGGTAAGAAAGCATTTTGCCAGCTGCTTACTTACAAAGTCTGTTTGCTTCACAACCTCACCAGTTCCATTATGTGAAGGAGCAGAATGAATGTGGAAAGAGTTGGTTCCCTGGCAATTGGATTGGCACTATCTTGGAGGAATATGAGGGTTCAAGACTGCAAGTGTTTCTGAAGCACCCACACTTTGTACTCTTCACTTGAGGGAATCTCTCCTGTTTCTTCCTTGAAGGAGATATTTAATAATTTCCAAGTGACTAATCTTTATTGTTTTCAGGTCATTATACAGGATATAATCTCAAAATACCTGGGATGAATGATGATTCACAGAAGGGAAGAGAAGGCTTGGATAAAGAAATAAGTCCAGATATTTGCTAAAGGATGTCCCCTAAATCTGGGAAATCTCATGAATATGTATTTTGTCATTGATGTACTATGAAGATACACACAGTACAAATAAGCACATAAGGGAAAATCTACGTACAGTTTACTACTCACCTCGGTCAATTGGATTTTAAAAGTTGCTGTGTTGTGTGATGCAAATCCACATGAAACCTCAAAGACTTACAATGCTGTGGGGGGAAAGGAAGGACAGTGCTGGATTTGGTTTTAATCTTAAATGCAGTGGTAAATTTAATCTTAAACTTACCAGATATTTGAAACTTAGAGGAAATTAATAGATGAACAAACAGTAAATCAACTTACATTAAAAATTGAATTTCTTTCCCAGCCAGGGTACATTCCTGGGTTGCAGGCCATAACCCCCAGCAACCGCACATGGATGTTTCTCTCTCTCTCTCTATCTCCCTCCCTTCCCTCTCTAAAAATAAATAAATAAAATATTTTTTAAAAATTGAATTTCTGGTGTGAAAATCTACCTAATCCCTTCAACCCAGCCCCAGAAGGCAAAAACATTCCAGAGACTTTTCTGTAACAGTTGATAGTTACAGAAAAGTTCAAGGAAAGGTGATTCCGATATTTTATAGTATTGCCCAGAAAACAAACATTGGGGGTTGGGGGATGAATTTTAAGTCATTTATGGACATAGATTTTAATGTCCTAAATAGAATCTTTAGCAAAATGCATGTAATCATGTATATTTTTTAAAAGCCTTGACATTGTTAAGTGCAGCAGACCACTGGTAGTGGGCCTGGTGTTCCTTCATTCCCAACAGAGGCACAGTATTTTTCCTAGGGCAATGTGGACCGCTGTAAAGCTACATCTCTCCGTTTTCTTTGCATTTAAGTGTAATTATGCTACTAAACCATGCACAAATGGGGATACAAGTTGCTGAGAGGGTCTAACGGAAAGGTTCTTCAGAAGGAAAACAAACAGCTGGGAGGCGTCTCCAAGTGTCCTCTCATCTTCCTCTTCCATATGCAGCATGTCATCGCTGGGTTTCAGGAGACCATGTTGGGGAGGAAGCCAACTGCAGGATGCCGTGGAAAGAGCGGTGTGGCTCTCTGCTAATGATGGAGCTACTAGAGTCGCCGTATACCACTACCATCTGGGCACGTTTCACACAGGAGAGAAGTAAAGGGCCTTGTTTCAGCACCTTTGCATGGGGGAAGACTTGGTTCTGTTATATGCAGCCAAATCTGATCCTTTTTCAGGGTGTTTGGAAGACAATAGTACAAAATTATTTCATAAAAACCACACTGCCAGGTAAAGAAAAGCCCTATATTATCAATATGTGTAGATAATTAAATTAGGACTAGAAATGAACCCCTTTAACTCCTTCAAGGAGTGTGTTCATAAAAATGACTAATGTCATGCATAGTGGTAAAACAATGGACATGTACCTTCAAGAAAATCACAAGGGTGTTCATTTTATTGAACAGTGTAATGGGGGTTGTAGCTAAGGTGTGAAAACAGGTTGTAAGGAATCTGAGGTTGGTTCAGAAACAAAAAAAAAATTCCAATTTTATACCTAGCGATTGTGTTCTAGTTAAATAAGCTGGGTAAGCTACAAAACCAAGAAACCAAAGAAACCCAAATCAACAAATCACTAGAAAGTAAGAGACATTATATATAAGAAAAATGTTGCACCCTTTGCAACGGTATGGGTGGACCTGGAGGACATTGTCCTAAGTGAAGTAAGCCAGTCAGAGAAAGACAAACCCCTTATGATTTCACTCATGTGTGGAATCTAATGAAAAAACTGAACTAAGCAACTCGGGACTTCCGGCCAAGATGGAGGTGTAGGTAGACACACTGCCTCCTCACACAACCAAGAGAAGGACAACAAAAATTTAGAAACAAAAAACAACAACCAGAACTGACAGAAAATTGAACTGTACGGAAGTCTGACAACCAAGGAGTTAGACACATTCATCCAGTCCCGTCGGAGGGGCAGAGTCGGGTGCCAGGTGCAGAGAGGTCGCAGCAAAGGCTTGCGGACCTCTGCACACAAGGCAGCAGCTGACAGACCCCAGGCGCAGGTTGGCAGCAGGCAGACCCAGCAGGGCTCGCAGAGCAGCTGGTGGACTGGGTGGTCCCACATTCTTGCGCAGACAAACCAGGTGAAGTTGGGGAATGAGACAGACCTCGAAGCCCAGGGCCCCAGCTTGGGGAAATAAATCCTCAAAACACCAATTAAAACACCTGTGGGGGTGAGGTGTCAGGAGAGACTTCCAGCCTCACAGGAGAGTTTGTTGGGGAGACCCACAGGGCCCTAGAACATACAGAAGCCCACCTACGTGGGAATCAGCACGAGAAAGGCCCAGTTAGCTTGGGGGAAACAGTGGGAGGACCGAAATCCAAGAGAGAGAGCAAGCGCCATTGTTCCCTCTCGGACCCGCCCCCACATACAGTGTCACAACCCAGTGACTGGGTTGCCCCGCCCTGGTGAACACCTAAGGCTCCGCCCCTCATACATAACAGGCACAACCAGACCAAAGGGGGAGGAGAAGATGACTCAAAAGGAAGAACAGATCAAAGCCTTAGAGCAAATAAATACTTTCAAGCAACGAAGAGATAGCCAAACTATCAGATGCACAGTTCAAAGCACTGGTGATCAGGATGCTCACAGAATTGGTTGATTTTGGTCACAGATTGGATGAAAAAATGAAGGCTATGCTAAGTGAAATGAAGGAAAATGCACGATAGTGATGGGAAGAAAATGGGACTCAAAGCAATGGAGTGGACCAGAGGGAAGAAAGAAACAACCAAACAGAAAAGAATGAAGAAATAAGAATTAAAAAAAAAATAGGAAAGGCTTAGGAACCTCCAGAAAGGCTTAGGAAACATCCTAACATCCAAATTATAAGGATGCCAGAACCCATCAGACTGTCAGCTGATTTCTCAAAAGAGACCTTGCAGGTAAGAAAGGACTGGAAAAAAGTATTCCAAGTCATGAAAGGCAAGGACCTACATCCAAGATTGCTCTATGCAGCAAAGCTTTCATTTAGAATGGAAGGACAGATCAAGTGCTTCTCAGATAAGGTCAAGTTGAAGGAGTTCATCATCACCAAGTCCTTATTATATGAAATGTTAAAGGGACTTACTTAAGAAAAAGAAAAAAAATGCTTATAGTAAAATGACAGCAAACTCACAATTATTAACAATCACACCTAAAGCAAAACCAAAAATAAACTAAGCAAACAACTAGAACAGGAACAGAACCACAGAAATGGAGGTCACATGGAGGGTTAGCAACAGGGGAGTGGGAGGAGAGAGGGGGAAAAGGTACGGAGAATAAGTAGCATAGACGGTAGGCAGAAAATAGACAGGGGAGGGCAAGTATAGTATGTGAAATGGAGAAGCTAAAGAAGTTATGACACATGGACATGAACTGAAGGGGGAGAATGTGGGTGGGAGGGGGTGTGCAGGGTGGAGGGGAATGAAGGGGGAAATGGGACAACTGTAATAGCATAATCAATAAAGTGTATATTATAAAAAACTGAACTAAAGCAAAACTGAGACAGCAAGGTCACAGTGAAGGGCTGGGGAGGCCGGTGGGTGGAGGCAGTGAGCAAAAAGGAGAAAGGACTCACACGTGGACAACGGTGGTGATTGCAGGGGGTGGGGTATGAGGGGACTAAGTGGTAATGGAAAAAATACAGTAAAACAGTAAAGTGAAGGCATCAAAAATTCATAAATTAGGCTGTCAGAAAAAAAAATGTTGCTGCTCTCATTCTTGGCGCAACTGCAGCAAGAGAGGTCCTGCAGAGTGAAGGGAAACCACACACACCACAGTTGCCCCTGGACGGGCATGATGGTCCCGACTCCCTGGCAACCCCACCACGGGAGTGTCCAGCCAACTCTTTCCCATGGCGCATCATGGGGCCCTTACAGATAGTACGACAAGTGCAATGTTGCCAGAGAAGGCTGAGAAAGGATTGTGCTGAGGTGCCCAGGCCCTCTCCTAAGTGCAAGGCAGATACTATGTGAAGACTGCAACAATTGAAAGAAACCCCTGAAGAGTCTACTTTCAGGCGGAAGGTCGGGTAAAGAACTCCCCTGCCGCCCTCCCATGTGAATGAAAACCGCCTCAAGGCACTCAGGACTTTGTACAAGATATGGCAGAAGGGTCAGGAGAGCTGACAGGGTCTCTAAGGCATTGTAGGCCTTCGGGGGGCTGAGGGGTCAGAGGTCAGAAGAACTGGAAAGCAAGGGGACCTCCGCATCCCAGAAAGTGCGCAGGCTGTGAGGCCAGCAGGTATTTCACACTGCTGAAGCTGGTAGCCTGGCTTTGAGCACAAGCTGATCTCAGACATTCCCATGTTCTGATCCCAGGTGCTCCTGAGGGAAA